ACCGGGGAGCGTTCAGCATTCCCGGAAGGAAGATCTTGGCAGCCAAGCCAGATGCAAGGTCAGACGCAATGCGATTACATGTTATCGGTACGACACGCAAATCTCATGTAGAGTTTCACCAACAGCCAAAGTCGGCCGAAGACTATAACAACATCTAGGGTGAAGGGAACTTTTGGCACCAGGGTCGCGAATCAGAATGATACTCTTGTCTGCCGACCGTAAGAAATTAGTCTGTCACCGCCAACATTTGGACGTGCCCAAGCTGATCCGATTGTCTATCAAAATCCTTGCGAGCAGATAAGAGTCCCGGCATTTGACTTTGAACCGTAAAATTGGGCTTTCATTGACCGAAGATGCCAAAGACGCCTAAACATGTTAAAATTTGATTGACTCATTGATATGTCTCAAGGCAACGTGTATGCTGGGGCAAAAAGAGACTCATAACCTCGACTCGATTCCTCATATGAAAACCCCCGCAGTGATCTAGTTTTCTCAAGGATTGAAGATAGAGATAAAGCAGCTGAAATAGATGTCCGCGGGCGTAAGAAGCTTGCCAGTGTCCCCATGGATGAATCCATCATGGCCATCACAGGATTCTAAGCCTTGACAGGCTGACCGCTAGAGCTGACAGCACCACAGTTGCCGACAATGACATTGTGGCTGCCGTCAAAGTTCTGGCCAGCAGACCAAGTCTTACAAATATGGGCTGGCTGCTTCGGGTCGCTGCAGATGTCCACCCAGATGCAGTCGTGAGCAATAGCCTGCGCAAGGTCGGCAACGTGACCGCATGAGACCTCGAGGTCGTAGTAGTTGTCGTTACAAAGAGCGATGGCCGCTTCACCGACACACTGAGTACGAATGCACTGGCGAGCTCTGACCTTGCAACCTCCGTTGACGGCACGGAGATTGTTCACACCAGTGTTGACCTGAAAGCCATCTACCTTGCCCCACTTCTCAAAACAATTAGGGGCCTGGAGTATCATCTCGTCAGTTACTTGCTACTGAAAGTGAAAATTTAGGACATAGAACGTGGTACATACTCTCTTCTCAAGGGATCGCTTGGCGTTCTGGGCTTCGTTGTAGAAGGCCGCGGCAACCTCAGGAGTGGCGGGAGTGCCATCCACATCGACGGTACCGTTGAAGATGGACGTTCCGTGCTCCTCCTGAACCTTTGCTTCGATATCCTAAGGATATTGTAAGTAAGAGGAAAGTTTGGCGCCAGGAAGAACAATAAGTATCTTACGAGTAGGTCGGATCCCCAGACCTCAACCACAGGGCCGCCCTCTTCCAAGACTCCAACCCATCCGGCCTCGCCAATGGGGAAAGGAAGAGGCGCGTATTTGACTTCAACATCGCGAGGCTAGACACATCATGTCAATTATCCCTCAAAGATTCTACTTCTTGCTGGCACTCACCTCGCTAGGGATGGCTGAAGAGGCCGCCGTTGCGACGAGGACGAGAATGACAGCAGAGGTCTTCATAATGAATGTTGAGAGCGAAGCGAATAACGGCGAATGAAGCTGGATTGGGGAAGAGAGCTGTGGTAAGCTTGATGATTCGAGAGTTGATCTTACTTTGAGCGAGGTGGCCACGACTATTTATATCGCTCTGGTTGTGAATAAAGCCCGCAGTCATCGGCTCTGTGATAAGTATCTACAACGTGAAAGCTTAGAGAAATCATTCATTAGTCGCCGAAGAATGGAACTTTGGTGTTGAACGGAAGCTTTCCTGCCTCACGGCCCACTTGACTGAGAGTAGGTATGCAAAGCTGACCGCTGCGGGAGTCGTGTTCATCTCAATACACCCCACTAATCGTGTGTGGGAACTTGGGTTTGGCTGCTGGTGATGGCATCAGAAAGTGAGGCTTATCCTATTCCCATCCTTACACCTGGAAGTATAGTCAATGCCACGCCCTTCGACGAGGACTAATCCATGACCCGGAGCTTCTGGCGACCGGATCAAGTCAACATCGAGAGGGTCCACATGGGTGAATACGCTCTTGAGATTCAGCTTTGATCCTTCGAACAGTCAAATTTCACCCCCTTCAATTAGGCAACCAGTTCCTCAGGCTCTTCTTTTGGTTGTGGGATTGAACGTCTCTAAGTGGTGGAAAGTTGACTACCCCTGAAACTATCGGACTTCGGTTGTCACTTTGTGGCAACGGGCGACCCTCTCAAAATCACCCGACAGAACTTAAATCCTTTTAAGCATATGAGCTTGTTTTCGAGCAACAAGATGCTCTGCGACTGATTCAATGAGACAAAGCTGGGCACCAAGCGAATCGTCTCGATTTCCTGACCGCTGTATTATTTACTCAAGTTTCGTTTCGTTCAGCTCATAGCAAAAGCTTTTGACAGCATTGAAGACCTTTCAGAATTTCTGCAACATGAGACGTGGTCACGCGGCCGACGGAAAATATTGGGACTTTCGTCGAGACCCCTGGCTACAATCCGGGGTTCGCTGCTGAGCCGCTTTCTCGGTTCGCCGGAACCAGGGACGTTGCAAGGCTGCATCTAGGTTCGTTCCGAGGCGGCCGCGGGTTGAGAGATTTTTCTTCGGGTCTAGGCATGACTACGCCGCATCTAGTTGTTGAGGGCGATTACAAATGGAGAAGGTGCCAAGACTTTCAGATCACCCGCAAACACCAAAGTTCTTCCAACGATGATTTTTTGAATCAAAACCTCAATGCTGCAGGCGGCTAAGAGACATTCCTTCTCAGGCCCATGTGTAAATGAGGCGACGATGCCTAAATGAAACCGCTCAAGTCAGCCTGGCGGCCGGTGTTCAGGGCGTTTAAGATGGGACTTTGGTAACACAGCATCCCACTTGGGTACCTACACAAGGAAACAAATGCGGCTTATATCATGATCGGGATCCCAGATATGCAGGCAGCCGGGAGTGGTCCAAGTCCCAATAAACTCCCTCTTCTATAAGAACTAAGCGCCTTCTGTTCCATTTGAGACTATTTCACTGAGCTCAGAATATGGCCGTTGTCCACAGCACTGTCAGAGTCTTGAGGCTTCGTAAGATCTTATTAATTGAAGCCTCATGGAAGTGAAATTTGATGGAGTAGCGAAAAGCTTCAGGCATTGCCTCTTTCCGATGTGTGGACTAGTGTTGTTGAATCTCTGTTGCTGCACAAGCTGTCACCTCAACTTGTGTTTCTATCCCCCGAATCACATTTCCTTTTCCCAACTCACCATTTTGTTCAGACAGAGCCTCGGGCCTGAAGTAAGAAGTCACGAAAGGGCAAGATTTCCTTGTAGGCTCGGACGTATTGGTATCCAATCCCATGGGTACTCGCAGATTCATCGGTTCATCCGAAACATTCAAGTCGTAATCAATGCTATACACGATTCAGGGAGTTCACCATCGGCATTTCCTGGATGCGAACGCGATAAATCTCAATCCACGAAATCCAACTAATGCGGGGGACCGGCGACATTTTCAAACAAAGACAGCCCTATAAAGGACCTCGGTGATCAAGTAATTCCCGAACCCAGTGTATCTAAGTAGCGCAGGGCGAGGATTGAGAAACCAGGTTTTTGGTTCCTGGGTTGGTAAATTTCCGGCAGTTCGGATCACCGAGCAAAAGTAAGCTTTTTACAACACGAGTTGAACTTCGAGCATGTTTCAAATTTTGAGACGACACAGGAAAATCCGGGGCACGAATCAATCGATGGCCTGTCATCAGCACAACATGAGTCAACCGCCTTCCGAGACATGACATGATCAGCCTGACTGAGCTGAATACCGCGTTCGCTTTCAACTTGTCTGCATGTACACGAGTCTGGCAATTGGATAAATACCTAACTACAACGCGTTTCTCAACGCAAACAATGTCAAGCATTACGCAACTTCAAAAGCTTCAATCAGACCATCTACTTCAGTAAGAACTGTCAAACTCATCGTTCACAGAGTAGTCATCATTCTAATTCCGCAAAAGACTTCTGCAACCAATATGAAGACGATTCCGTACGCTACTCTGTTGATGGCTTTGGCCTACTTCGCAAATGCCTTGCCCCAGACGCCCGGAGAAGGTTGCGACTCTGTCGCAATTTGTAATGATGTGTGCGGCAAGCAAGGAATGGTAAGTAGCAACCATCAAGCATTAGGGGCGTCTCACTTTTCAGTGAGCCGTACGTAAGTCTCTGGTCTGATCACAAGTCCTACAGAAACGCGGCGGATCATCATGCACTGGAAACAATTCGGCCAATTGCGTTTGCGTGCCCAAGTGATTGCGACATCACCAACGACATGAGTTCTGCTGTTTACGAGAGTATGGTGTACGCAGTTTTGTGATTTACTTTTGTCAGCACCTTTTCCAAGACCGTGAAGCGTCGTTTTAGCAAAACCCCCTTGGGAACTTGACACCTCCAGTGACGCATCACCTGGAGCCAAAAAAGCTCGCTTGCACGTATTAGAAGCTTGTAGGAGCAAAACGTTGGGCCCTGGCCAGGATTCGAACCTGGGACCTCTTCCAATCCGGCTGATAAGACTCAGAAGTCTTGTTGAAGCCCTAAGGAAGAATCATACCGCTAGACCACCAGGGCTAGTGATCCTGAAGCATCGTACGATGTTCTGGATGCCTGGTGCATACCGAAGGTTTGGTCAAGAAGGGTGGTGGGAGACGAGTTGTGCTATTGTGGAGTTAGGGCGGGTCGTGATGAGGGCACTCACGTCTAGAGTAGTCACAACACACAGATAACGCGTGGCTATAATGCTAGCTTGGCAAAATCGCGCTTCAGGCTGAGCGGTGCCGGAAATCCACTCTTCTGTTGGTTACAGATAAGGATGTGATCATTGGGTTAAGTGTTCGGTTTTGCTCTTTCTTTTCTGATGGGCCTAGTTCTACTAAGAGCATCAAATAATGAGAAGCATAAAGACACACATTGGCACTGTGACAAATAGTTTGTCAAGTACCACATACGCCAAGTGAACCAAGTGTGGTTGAGATTAGGTATAGACATTATATGGTTTGTATCTACTCTTGCCGGATACGGCGGTTTCTATATACCAAAAACAGACCCGAACGCCTCTATGACCCGAACATGACAGGACGGAAACCAAAAGGGGTTTACCACCTGAAGTGGAAGACTCCCTTCAACCAGCTCATGACCGAGGCAATCATACCATTGATGTCGCCACCGTTCCTGAGTTGATCGGCGATGTTGTTAAGGCGGTCCTTGGTAGCGAGCCACTTGTCCAAAACAGCCTGGTCGGGAGCGGTGAAGGTGCTTCCGGTACGAGGAGGCAGGGCCTTGGTGCACTCGGTCAAGTCATTGATGTTGAAGACACCAAGAAGAGAGAGGCGGATGTACTCGCGAGCGTAGTCCTGGTTCCAGTGGGACTGTCCGCCCTGGCCAGCGAAAGCCTGGAACTCGGAGCTGATGCGGGAGTCCTTGGCGAGAACAACATCGCTGGCAAACTTGAAGACACGAGCGGGAGCGGAGCCGAGGGTCTCCTTGTAGAACTTGACGTCCCAGACACCGGGGGTGCTGTCCTGCGGGTCGCCGGCGCGGCTGGGGTCCACGAAGCGCTGCTGGCTGGTCGTGTGGGCGCCGATGAGTGCGGTGAGACCGTGGGGCTTGATAGTCTTGTTCTCAAAGAGCTCGATCAAGAAGTCGGCAGAGCCGGTGACGGGAGGCAGAAGGTTGAGGGGAGCAGGGACGGAGGAGTCCTTTCGGCCGACGTATGTGCGGATGCGGGGACCCAAGGGGCAGCTGTCACGAAATCAGCTCATGCTCAAATTGCAAGACAAGAAGTCCGGATGACTTACACAACAGTGGCTACAGTTGCGGAGAATTGGATGAGATCGGCCATTCCGATTCCAAACTGCTTATAGCGGTCGAACCAGACCTGGGTCTGGGCAACAATCTCCTCGAGACCATGATTCTCCCCGCGGGCGATTTCCTCTGAAGCGAGGACGATAGAGCCGTCAGCTCCGCCGAGGTTGCCGGTTCCCTTAGACCATCCGCCGGCATCGTGGAAGCCAAGACGGACGGCAGCGCGGGCGAAGTCGGTGCAACGGCCGGATCTGCCCCTGAAGGTACCCTGAAGATCGTTGGCGATGTACTTCCAGATACAGCAGGTGTCAGCAGCGCAAGCCGCTGAGCCCTTTGGTGCGAGGGTGCCTGATCTTCCAACAGTTGGGTAGGCGTCATCGCTCTCGGGGTTATCGAAACCGGTAAGGAGCTTCTTGACGCTGCTTCCGACGGCGGTGAGCTTGGAGTCGTCGAGGGTGATGAGATCGCCAATGAGCTCGTTAGAGTCTCCGTCGTCAGCGCCGTTACCGTCTACATCGGCGCGGGAGCGGATCTCGGCGAATGTGTTCTTCATGCCGGGGTAGGCGATGATGGGCGTGGCCGCGAGGGCGGTAGTAAGGAAAGTTGACACACGCATGATGAGTTCGAAATAGTTGTGTACCGGGTAGAAGAGAAGTTGATAGAGAGTGGTCTAGATGATGTGTATGCTGAAGTCGCAGAACGAAAGGATGATTCTATCGAATCGAGAAGGAATGATAGAGACGAAGGAGATGATGAGGCGTATCCTGATGAGCCAAGTGATAGAGACTGGGCATCATGGGTTCATTATATCCTCATCGATAGCTCCTAAGCCCGGGAGGCCGTGCTCGCACTCCAGCGAATCTATTCTTGGCAAAGGAAGCCATCGTACAGCTTGAATGCTGACTGTGGAGATGAGGAGTCTCCAATCGTCTTGACTAGTTCTAGGGCGTCTCGACGCCGTCGACGTTGTAGCAAAGGCCTGCTTTTCCTCCTTCTCATCTGCTGTCAGTCGCTCGTAGTCTCGTATTGGGCCGAGTCAACCGAGTAGGAGTTGATCCAGTCCGAGCGCCACCATGTGTACTTTTGCTCCGCCTCCACGAAGCCTTGAAGAGTCGGACGAGGAATCATGTTGTCTGCGATTGGACAACCAGACCGGGGGAAGACGGTGGTTGCTACAGCGGTGAGCGAGGCGTTGACCAGGAGGAAACAAAGAGGTCTGTGTGCCGCAGATACCACGTCGAGATACCACTGAGTAAGGCACGTCAGATATCATTTCCCCTGCTCTATACTCCGGGGCATGAGCAATACTGACGAGGTTTACTGCCAGCCGCGTGGACGTTCAGTCGATAAGTGCTATTCAACTTGCGTTGCGTACTTACTGACATGAACTCCTCACTGACACCACGTCTGCGAATGTCAGTTTCTCCGTGCCTCGTATCGATGCACCCATCATCCGACCCTGAAAGATGCATGTGTGCCAGGAACAGGATGTAAATTCAGACGCACAACATTTCTTAGCTCCCATCTTGGTATCTGTGCTAATCCAGATCCGATCTACGGGCGAGACCACTGTTCCCCTTCCAGCAACTGACTCTGACCGAGTTGGAACAAACTCAGCAGAGGTACTCTTATTCAGGGGTAATAACGCGAGTCGCAATCCCACAAAGGAGAGAGCTGCTTTAGCGTTGCATCCCGTATGCTGCACAATCCCGACGCTAATCCAATGTTGCTTCTAGCGCACGACGGCATGACTTGGCGGCTAAGTTCCCCTGAAACATCAGGTGGGATGACCCGGAAGACCCTAATATTCTGGATACGACCGCCGTTGAGCTTGTTTTCCTGCGTGTGGATGGACGTTTGTTGTCGTCCGATGCTGTCTCAGAAACTTTCAACGCTCGGATGGCGCGCCAACCAACTGGATCGTCCAATAATTGAGATGCTATTTCTAACTCGTAATAGGAGAGGATCTTTTGGTACAGGGATTTCCGTAACGTTTCCTCCCTGCTTGGCTGCTCGCGTGTCGTGTGCGTACGATTCGAACACTCGTCGACGTGAAGTGGGAGTGCAAGTTACTGCTCGATAATGATTCAGACGCGTAAACACCCCTAATATCCCCAGGTTCTGATGGCAACAACATGGTTTCTTGTGAAGATGATCGAACCGCTCAACATCCTCTTCTCTTCTTATTTAAGCCTTGTGAATGCCTCTTCTTTTGACTTGTCATGCCAAGCTTTTCTGAAAATCAAGATGCCCTCGTTCCCGTGTGACACCGACACGCCTCGTCCGAGGAGGGCTGCTGACATCGGTCCGGCTTTGACTGGTCAGACACAAGCTGATAGAATAAGCTTGAAGCCTTCAAGCCCTACCTTGAATCCCGGTCTGAGCGAGCTGACCGAGTGGCATCCTGCTTCCTCGTGTCGACTTTTGTTTGTCCCCGTGAGAAAAGCGTTTCTGAACGCGAGAAGACGGCGGCAACGGCACTAAACCTTCTTTGTCCTTTGTTCGGTGTCTTTGACCCCCCTTCCTCTCACTGGCGCCTGGCGCTAGGTAGGAAGCCATCGGCCCGTCGAGGATCGTCAGGGGGACCAAACAAGCGTGGTTCCTCGTGATTCTGTTTGTTCTGTTTGGCGAGCCGTAACGCCTCGGACTTCAGCTGGCAGGTAAAGACCCAAATTGGCCCAGCTTCGTCGCATCTTCCTGATCCAGCTGCCAGTATCCACCGATTTCGCGAAACGTCTGTTCGACCCCAGGTAGTATCTCATTTAAGTCTCTTGCCTGGACATCAAACATGTCGGTGCACTGGGCCGCAACGAACTTCTCAGAATGCTGGGGCATGTAAGTAGCGCCGTCCCATTTGATGGCGACGTTGACGTTCACCTCAGGGCTCTCTTCGCTCGGCGCTCTCTTGTAGTGCCGAAGATATCCGCCCTTGACGTCCCGATTCCACCTCATGACTTCGAGAGGAGCAGTCTTGACGAGCCCCCCGTGAAGAAAGGCGATACGGCCATCGTCGGGGTGGTGCTGCGCGAACGAGTGTCCGCAGTAGAAGCCATCATTCTCCGTTCCGACACTCGTGACCCATTTCTTGGGCTTTCCAAACGTTGTCCGTAGAGCGTGCCACGCGAAACGGAACATGTCCTTGTCGCCCAGCAACATCTCATTGTAGTATTTCCCCTGCTCATTGTTGAGCCACGATGCAAGCTGGAGGTGGTACCAGAAGCGCTGTTTGTCTACCAGAAGCTGACCGCTCTCCTGCTCGTGCTCTGCCATTTTGCATGGCGTGTTGAAGATGGCCCAAGCGGGATTCTGAGGCCGCGTGCGAGCAATATCGGGCCAGAATACGGAGTGGTATTCTGTGTACTGCATCGAGTCGTAGAGAATCGACGGGTCGATCATGGGAATGTTGTCGGAGTCGAGCAGCAGAGGCTCAGCCCAACGCGAGTTGAGAAGGGCGGCAGTCTTCAGCTGGTAGTTGATCCCAAAGATCCCATCCTTCTTGATATGTACAATATTGTGCTCTTTGGAGAGATCATTGTAGTATATCGGCTCATAGAGAGCATTGAGATCCGCCATGACGCCCATGTCCATCTCGGTGTCCCAATAGTGAATCTCTATGGCAATTGTTGACCGGAGCCTCTTCAGCTGACGCAAGATTACCTTGACGCGCATCACCGTGTCGGCGTTGCCTGCGACTATGACCAGTCCTCGCCCGGAGAAGCGATCCTTGACGCGTGCGTATGGGATCATGCCGCTCTTGACAAAGTCCTGCCATTCGCGTCTGCGCAGCTCGATTTCAAGCACCGGTCGGTCCTCAATAACCCATGGCAGATTGTCGGAGAATTGAAAATCGACGTACATGTCCGCTGGCCAGGTACACGAAGCGCGAGCCTCTTGCTGGGAGATGCCCTTGATGTTGGTCACGGCAGCGAAGTGAGGGATGAAGTCGTCGGCTGTCGGGAGTTTATGCGCGTCGAGAAGCACATGCGCCTGGATTGGAGGCGGCTGGAACTGCAGGTTATTGTCGATGATGGGCACCTCGACGCGATCTGGAGGGATGTCGACATTGATGAGCGAGCCGCCCGGTGGTGAGTTGGGTGTCCATTGGGATGTTTGAGGATTCGAGTCGCCCTTTTTGAACAGCAAGATCAGGACAACGGTGATGACCAGCGCAAATATGATGCGTGTTCTCTTGATGGCGGCCATGCTGACGATGAACCATGGACCTCAAAGTCGAAAGAGTAGTGGGCCGAATGAACAGCTTCCACAAGGGATACACCGTTCATATCAACTGGAGACCCTAGACGCGACACCCATTTCAAGCAGTTCCCATGGTTCACCTCATCTTGTTTGTCTTTTGCCGGCCTCGGTCCCAGCCATCCCATTTCGTGCTGATCTCCATGTGAACCGAGCAGGGGTGTTCCCCCGCGTAACAAGGCCTTGCTGCGTGATTGCGTCGTGCGGGGTTCGTCACATCCTGGAAGACGCCGTCGCAAAGCTTGAATCCAACTATTTCACATCACATACTTCTCATTGGTTAAGTAGTTGATGAGTGACAGGCCATCTTCCGTACCAGAGCGGGAATGCAGGTCGAGCGGTCCGGAGCGTCTGGAGTCCAACTTTTGCTGCATAGTATTCGTATCAAGACACTGCGGCCGCAGGGCCTGTCGCATGGAGTAGTCGCTTTCAGTAAAGCTCCCGAGACCTACAGGCATCTTGAGCAAAGTAATATAGCCGGCCTTGCAATGGAAATCTTGAGCTCATGTGTGACTTCTCGTCACACCGTTCATCTACGTGTCTCTCTAGAACAATTACAGCTTAGCCTTTCCCATACCGAGGTTATTCCAGTCATCTTGAGTGAATGGGACATATGTGCTTCCTTTCCCGTGCTTCTCAATCCACAATAATTGATCGCCGCCTTGGATCTTACTTGGATCCACGCCCTCATTCTTCAGCGGCACTTTGTTCTGCTTGTTGTTGTGCGTTGCTGTGCCCTCGTTCAGGAGTCGGATGAAAACCGGCACGGCATATCTTGGGAGCTTTGATCGTGCGAAACTGTTGACCATCAGTTTTGATGCATATAAACTCTTGAAGTCGAGCCTACTCACCTGAGGAAGTCGGCATAGTTGAAGGACCCCTTCTGGTCCGCAGCGATGTCCAGGGCTGCCGCGCCAGCCTTACCATCATGCCCGGGGAGCTGGACGCCGTAGACGACTGCCTCGTTGACGCCCGGGTAGCTACCCAGGACTTCTGAGACTTCCGCGGTCGAGACGTTCTCACCTTTCCAGCGGTACGTGTCACCTAGACTGGGTGTATGGGTCAGCAGATGCAGTCGAAGCGAGATCTCTCTGACACTTACCGATCGAGGAAGAACCATCTGCCTTCACTATCGCGTCGCAAAGAGTCACCAGTGCGGTAGAAGCAATCACCCTTCTTGAGGATGTCACGGACAAACTTCTTGTTGGTGGCGTCCTCGTTGTTAAAGTAGCCCGGAAACGCTCGCTCTCCAGGATGCTCGACCAAGATCTCCCCACCGACTTCATACGAAGCGCGCAGGGCCAGGCCAGTCTTGGGATCTCGCTGAATATTCCCCGTTTCCGCATCAATCTCTACAGGTACCACCATATTTCTGTACTTGAGTCGGAGCAAAAGACCGTGGTGACCTAGAGCATTCGCAAAGAAGTCTCCCCGGGAGAGGTTACGAAGGCCCAATGCGCCCTCGGTGCTGTTATAGAACTCGCACACCGTGTCGATGCCGAACCTTTCTTGGAAGCGTTTCCATACGTCGGGTCGGCAGCCATTGCCGAAAACAGCATGGATGTTGTGGTCTTTGTCGCGCGGTGAGGGGGGCGAGGCTAAGAGATATCGGAGAGTCTCACCAACGTAAACGAACCAAGTGGCGTGGGAGTCGCGAACATCTTCCCAGAAGTTTGAGACACTAAATTTGGGCGCCATGCAGACTGTAGAGCCAGACTGCAACTTGTAAGCTGGAATTCGCTTGAAGAGGGCGGGAAGGTCTTACCAAAATCTGGGATATCATAGTGATACCGCCAGTCCCGTGATAATACGGCTGTATCGATCTTTTTAGAAACTTCACCTATCACAATATAGGCGCATTCACTTACCATGCAAATATAACATCTTTCCTTCCCGCTCTTTGTCGGATGCAAGCCAATGTCGTTCTACGCAGGTCAGCAAGGCGGAGGAAGACAGAGTGCGCA